AGCAAAAGCAGCCAAAAGTGTAGGATTGGCAGTCACCTTCTTCCATTTGTTAGAAGGCATTGGCTGTAGGACAGATTCTCTGGAGCAAAGCTCTAGAAGCTTAGGTCTACTGTATAAGGAGCTCTTGAAAAATAATTTTGCCATGTAAATTTAGGTCCTTATGAGGTTTCTGCATGCAAAAGGAAATCTTGTTGATTTGGATGGAACATCTGACTGGGGTTTTGCCCTTTGTTTTCTGATCCTGTTGATGAGCAAATCAGCCATGGCAAACTACTCTAACCTCTTCCTTGCCTTTCCCTCATTATATCCCATAGGTGTACACTGAGTAGAAACTTTAAAATCTAAACTATGATTGTGATACCTCTTAATGTGATATATTATAATGTTTGGAATGCAGTATTTGAATTAGGATTCCGTTTTGGTACTTGGGAGAAAGCAGCGGGGGGGGACAATCAGAGCTCTCTGTAAAGAAGCTTGTGGACAAGGTTGCTTTTCTGTTATGACTTGTGTTTGGGAAAAATGTAAAGCCTTACTTAAAGGAATTAAGGTGTATAACTATCTGAGAAGGTTTTGAGAAATTTTGTAAGATAAAATTATTGGATGAGTGCCTGGCCTAAAGCACTTGGAAGTTGTGAGTAGCTTAAGGGTGGGGAGGAGAAACTACATTTTGTGTCTTCTGTTTCTTTTATTGCCTAAGCATAGAAGCTTTCATGTGTGAGTTACATAAAACATAATTTCAGATTCCTGTGTATTATGTGGATTGGAAATCTTCTATGAAAGGGAAGATCTTTGTGTGGTTTCACTTGAATTTAAGGTTGAAGAAAAAAAAAAATAATGCCAAATATCCTAAGACTTATAAATGTTAGTCTACAGCGTATGACAGCCTTTTTCCAGAAATTAGTCAGCATGGCATTTCTATCAATTTCCATGATTTAATCTGTCTGATATGAATCTTTCAATCTTATTTAAGACTTAGATCTGAAAACCTTCCTGGCAAAGGAAAATTTCCTATTGAACTTGCAGTGACACCAAACAAACTGTTGAGACCTCTCTGTTCTTTTTGGCATGTATATGGGCCACAAAAAGAAAGCAAAAGGATTGGGTTTATGGCAGTGGTAGTGGCTGACTTGAAGGGGAGGAAGGTATTGATATTTTTTTTTTTTTTTTTTTTTACCTTTTTAATTTGGCCTTAAGTCTTATAACAGGTGCTGTACTCTAAGCCAGCAGTTTTTACCTTCTGTGCTTGGAATTAGTGCTAATAATCTTTTGCAGAAAGCCAGCCTTGCAGTAATTTGTATCAGCTGGTCTCATGAGGTTGGCCAAGAACATCATACACAGAAAGAGGTTTTCTTAAAATAGAAACTGATCTGGTTTCAATTTGTGACTGACACGGTTCCAGTGACTAAAGACTTGTTATCATAGTGACATGTGATACAATTTGCACTATATGGATGATACACATTAAAGGAGGGGGGGGGAGAAACCCAGCTGATTATTGCTAGTGTTTTCAACTGCTTATCCAGTGTGATTGGGGGCCAGTGTTTCAGGTACTCAGACATACCTTAATGCATTATTTGTTAGCTTTGCAAAGAAACCTAAAGGGTCTCAGCTGTACTACTCAGGACTGGGGAAGATTTTTATCATAACCTTAGGGTGGGAGCAAACCCAACTAAGATGCCTTGTAAATCTGAATACAGGATGAGTGCAAGTGGATCAGAATTCATGTAGGATTCTCCTCTGAAGAGCTGGGAGGGGAATGTGCTCCAGTTAAGCCAGACGTAGTAAGTATGTTAAATTTGGCAAAGCATAGCTTTGTGAACTGTGGAACCAAGTTTTATGACATCTACCAGGAAAAATAATGGTTAGGAGTCTACTAGGGTAGGTGGCATCCTGCATCTGATTGAAAATAAAGTGGGACTGCAACCTTAGTTGCAGTTACTGCTCTACAGAATGATGGTATCTGAGAAGTTTAGTAGCAGTGCAGCTTGCTGTGAGCTCCCACAGCCTGTGTGGATGCTCAGCTCTTTCAAACTTGTTCATCTGGGGAGGACTAAAGTTCTGCTTCCACTAGTTTTATTTATTTGTATCCCGAGACATCGATGAAGCCTGCAGCTTGTTTTGTAAATGTTGTCCAACTATTTCTTTTGGATTTTTAAATGAATCATAGACAATATAACACTTCTTCCCTCAGCCTTCTTTAAACATGAAGACATGGTAATGTATCATTCCTACAACAGATTTCTTGATTGACCTGAGGCAAGAAACTTGCCTGCTTTACATGAAAAAATCCTTGCTAATTCCAGTTCAGAGCTGTCCAGATTTTGTGGTTGCAACAGAAGCTTCTGTGCCTGTTGGCAGTACTGCACATGCACATTCGGGGTTTTGGATTAGCACTGCAGATGCTGACTAGTGTATAGGATGGTGTGAAAAGTTTTCATTTGATAGCCAAAACAGATATACATACCTGTTCATAAACTGGAGGAGTGCTGTTGTAGATCCTCAACAAATTAAGGATTGTTTGTTGATAGCTCTATAGTAAGCACTTTTTACTTCTGCCTTATTATAAAATTGTCATTTTCTAAGTATAAAGTTATAGATTGAGATACTGTTATATCAACCTCATGGAACAAAATCACAATGAGATTCATGGAGAAATATGGCAGCCAACCATAACCACATGCAGGTGGTTGGGCTGCTTTTTTTTTTCCTGTTTTTTAGCAGGGAGGATAATCATTAATCTGGCTGCAGCTACCTTCCACATCTGTAAGAAATGATGTTATCTCTAGAGATGAAGTTTCCTACTGAATAGCGCCAGTGAAAATACCTAGTTTTAATCTCTTGGTTGAACTCGTTGCATGATTTTAGTGCTCATTAGGTGAATACATCAGCATCCTGTCTGCCAGATGATCATGTCAGACTGCAAAGGCCTGAGGCAGACGTACACAAACCTAAAGGGCTGTGATGGTAGCTGCCTAAGAGACCTGTCCAATAACAATATCTGCTTCTCACCAGGTTTGTCACCAGGGATGCTTCTGAGGCAAGCTATTTATTTCTTTTTCTTTGGCTTCATTACATCCATGGTGCTGTAACTCGGAGGTACTGACTCAACTGTAGATACAGCTGACTTCTTTCCTGCCCCCCCACCCCCCCTTTATTTTTCTGAGGGTTTTTTGGAAGAAGAGGTGGTTTTTTTTTTTTCCTTTGACTGTTGGTATTGCCTTGTAAGTGAATACTCCTCTGGAACTGTGGCCTATAAAACAGAGACAAAACTTTATTTTAAATTACTGCTTGTAAATGCAGTTTGGTTTGGATAAAGCGGTGAGGGTCATGTTACTGCAAAACTTCTAATTCCACATACTCAAGATGGTTATACAGAAATTATTTCACATTATTCCATATGTTCTGTAGGACAGTGATTGGGCCTACATGGGATCATACTACTGACATAATTATATACTATTAGTGGTAAAACGTTGTGAGTAAAAGTTATATTTTTATCTTGTAAATTAAGTTGTATTGCAGCCTGTGGGTACCATAGATACCCTGACTTTCCTTCCCAAAGCAGGGGCTGGTACAAAAGAAAGGGAAATGACTCAAATGGTTCCCTTTCCCTTGACCTCAAGGTAACCACTTAGAATGACACAGCACTTCTGACTCCATCCGGAAGCAAACAGCAGCTTTTATAAAATTTAAAAGGTTTAGCATAGGGAACTTAACTTTTTAAACCTGGTACCTGACCTTTCAGTGTGGAGTGTTGTGTGTTTTGGGGGAAAGAGTATTTTAGTCAAAAGTCTGTTTACTGGATTGCCACTTGAAGGGATTCTGAGGAAATAATCTCTTAAACCTGTTGCTATTAGTTCTGAGTAGCATGTGAGAAGCTTTTATGAGCAAGATACATTTCTGTTAGAAATGAAAGACAAATTCCTGCAGAAAGAGGCATTGTACCAATTTGAGAACATGTTCTTTAAGTCTTGGACTGGAACATACAAATTCCTCTAAGACATTCCCAGCCTCCTCCCATCTCACTGCTGCAACATGTTGCATTTGGCAGCTTTCATGACTTCCTCAGGGGTTTTCCTTCAGGGCTTGGGATGACTGCTGCCTTTGAGGTCTTTGAAGACATGGAGTGGGAAGACGGGTGTGGAGGGCAAGGCACACAGTTTGGTGGGAGTGGAGTAGGGTCCAAAAGTTCAATGGCTTGTCCTAATGGGATGGTTCTTTTGTTCTGTTTGGTTGATGACTTGCCAAAAATGGTGTCCTAGAAATGTACTAATGCTAAGTAATCCAGCATGACAAGCTCATGAGTTTTAGTCCAAGTGGTTGTTTTGTTTGTTTGTTTTTTCCTTTAAGACTTCTGTTCCTGGAGTTCAGGCAATCTTTCTTTAAATAAACAAAATCCAACTTCTAGCCCTTTTGAAGAGAGTTCATGGACATGGTCCAAGCCTATGCTGGCAGAAGGTGAACACCATGGATGCATGCTGGGCTGCCTCACTGTCCACTGCTTTGCTGTAAGTCAGGGTTGCAAGCAGCAGTGGATTTTTCTTCCAAGATACCTGGCTCTTGTTTATCTGTGTACAATAGCCACAGAGGTTTCATGTGTGCTCTTGTGACTAGACTTTTTTCTTTTTTACTTTAAATGAATGTGATAACTGTTGATTTATTCTTTGGTGTTTGTTTGTTTGTATGTTTTTCCCCTTCCATCTCCTCCAAATTGTTCTGCTGACTTAAAGGAGAACTTAAAATGAACTTCTTTTAAAATGTCATTTGAATGACACTTGATTCTGTGTTTTAGGGTGTGAGTTGTCATATTGGATAGGAATATATTTTCATGGCCACCATGTTCAAGAGGCTTGTAAAACAGGTTTGACTCAAAGTGACCATTTGAACTTCACAAAGTAGTTTAATCACACTGAAAAACTTGTTTCTTTTAATTAAAAATGCATACATAATCTACTTCCCTGATCCCTGATATTACAGCTTCTTCCTTGTCTCTTTTTTAGGGGATGTTTTGTTTGTTCTTAAACACTGGATATGCTGGGTCACTGAACTGTTACTCCAGAAAGCATTGCTGAGAGGACAAGCTGGGAAGACATCATTACGATGGCAAGCACGAATGCAACACTTTTCCAAAAATCTCTCATCTAGTGAAGCATGCACATACTCTACTGCAAGAAAGCAACGTTTGAGGATTTTTAAACCACTGACTGTAACCTTGTCTAGCTTTTTGTGTGCCTGCTGAAAAAGACTTTTCTTCTATATCTTTAAAGCAGACTACAAGACTACACTCCTCAGAAGGATTTAAGATTTTCCTGGACACTTTACAAGCCCCCCCACACACAAGATGATTGACCTAAGCTTCCTAACAGAGGAGGAACAAGAGGCAATAATGAAGGTGCTGCAACGAGATGCAGAGCTTAAAAGAGCTGAAGAAGAGAGAGTCAGGTAAGGGACCTAACACTCTGGGTTGTCCGAGGAAGACCTGCTCGGCTCCTGCTCTGAGTTACTCAGAGCATAACAGTAGATAAAAACAGTTGTTGCTGAGGGCCCCATATTCCACAGTATATGTGGTTTAGAGATTTTTTTTTTTTTTTTTTTTTTAACCCTGGACTAGATTTAGCATAGTCTCTGGATGAAATGCCTCTAACGCACAAACTATTCATTACTGGACAGAAGACTAACTGTTGATTTGGACCCTTACAATTCCCTAAGGGGTCATGCACATTTGGTACACATCTGGCTTTATATGCAGCTGGCTTGGTTTCCTCAGTAAAACATTCAGTTTGCAAGCATCAAAACCTCCACAAACTGAATGAATGCATAATAAGTGGGGAGATTCGATTCATAAAGGGCACTAGTGCCTCAAACAGAAAAGTCGGTATAGATGCAGTCAGCAGTATGTCTGAATGATTAAGTTATACCTCAAACATGAGGAGCACTGGAGCTGCAGTCCAGAGGAGGTACCAACACTACGCTCCATTGTCAAGAGAAGTCCTTGTAATCCATGGCTAAAGCAGAAAATTGCTCCGTTTAATTTGTGGTGTCACAGACAGAGCAATGTGGTGTTATTCTGGAATATTTTGTGTGCTGGGAGGTTTTCCCAGAGCTACTATTAGCATAACTGCCATGAATAGAAATGTATGCATCACCCAGATGACTTGGCTTTGAGAAAGCTATCTACACGGTACAAATATCAGTTGAATAGTGGTTTCAGCTAATACAGATGGCTACTTGCTCAAGAATGAGGACTTAAGTAGTCAGGCTTTTTTTCAGTGTGAAGGAAAGTATCTATTACAGGGCGCACAAAATGATAAATGGCAGAATAATGAATGACAAAGCTTTAGATGCTGAGAGGTTGAAGGGCTACAACACATAGAAGTTTACAGGTTTCTGCTGAGGGAGGATTTTTTTCTCACTGATTCAGTAATCTCCAGGATTCTTTCTCATTGTGATATTCCTCATGAAGACATATATTTCCTGTTTAAATATTTTGATATTATTCCAACCACGATGCATTTGTGATGCTTCTCTTCTGCTGAGAAATATTTTCTGACAAATGCTTTCTGTGTAGGCATACCCCAAAGCAAATGAAACAGCAGCCTGACACTTCCACAAGAGCAGCGTTCATTTTGCTGCATATGCTTGTGTAGCCTTGGGGTTGTTTGGTCAGCATGTTGTTGAGTTATTCGTCTCACTTCTTTCTGTGAAAAAGCAATAAAGGGCAGGCCAGTATCTTCTGGTTAAGAAGGCTTCTCTTCTCAAGGCATTTGCTTCACTGAAGACTGAAGGTAAAATCATTACAGAGGATGGTTCAATTCCACCCCCCCCCCCCCCCTTAATGCAACCTGAGGAGGAGATGTTTTCACCATGTAGTTTTGTCTCCTGTGTCAAAAAGCAGAAAACTGACTTTGCTGTAACAGAATGGGCATTTTCTTTTCTTTACTGTAGGTAGAAAAATACTGACTTTAGTCTTGGAATGGTACAACAGTGCCAGCTTTGAAAAGTGCTCAGGGAAAGTAGTTGTAGATGTGAGTTTTTGAAAACAGTATCTGGGGAAGGGAGCCCTTCCTGGAGCAGAAAAATCAAAAAAGCCACTCTCAGTAGTGGTCTGAAAGGGCTGTCAACAAGTATTTTTGTCTGTGTAACTTTGCTTTTGCCATTTGTAATTCTAGTTCAAGAGGGTGTGGTGGAAAATGCAAGGGACTGCAGGTTGTAGCAGCCTGTAATCAGCATCTTTGTTTCTACAATTAAATGTCTCTTCTGGTTTCTGAATATTATAACTTCTGAGAAGCTAGAAACTTACATCTGAAACTGATTTTTCTGCATAGATGTGGCACATTGAGCTTGCATTTTATATATTATATATTAAAACACTACCTGAATTATATCTCCAGCCAAGGAGATACAGTATTTTAGTTTGAATTCTACCGCCTTGCACACCTGGAAGACTCCAAGAGCTGGGATCGAATGTCATCATACAAACATCACACTCTGACAAAGTGTTGTTTGTATGTGTATATAATGGAAGTATTTTAACGTGATCTTTTTCCCTCTAGAAAAAATTCTGAGGTTTGAAAGGTGTTCTAATAATCTATTCCATCTATGGAGTCTATGTGCTGTGTGCCTGAAGTGTGGACAAACTGCTAACGTGACAGAATCCTCTTTGAGCAACTCCTGGTAGAATTTTACAAATCACCTGATGAAGTCCCTCTTCCTGCTAACAGCTCCTAATATTGCTGAACTGTAGTCAAACTGTGCTGATTAGGCTGACCCACGCAGCCTTCTTAGGCAGTCTGCTTTAATTATTGGTTTGTTGAGTGCTGCGATAGGTGTTTGCTCAGTCCTGTGGCTCCTCTTGTGTTAGTCTGAATTGGGCTGATAGTTTTAGGAAGAGCATCATTTTGGGATCAGCATGTCTGCTTCTTCCTTGATCTCTGCTGAGGTCTGTCCCAAAGGAAAGGGGACAGTGACATTTTCTTTTCATGGGCAAAGGGGTGATGAAATCTCAGATGACAAGAGGGTGTGGTGCAAGGAAATCAAAAGATGTTGCATCCTTTTTTTATTCCTAGTGCAAGAAGGTGCCTCTCTTTGCTGCCAGCCCCTGAATGGCAGTGTTGCTTGGGAGGGAAAAAATAGTGTAAAATGGAAAAGCTGAGTGACAGCTTGTCAAGACTAGAAGCTGGTTTTGAGCATATTGCTGACATTTTTTGTTGTTGTTGTCCTTATTCCTGTCCAGGAATCTCTAATATAACCTGCTGCAGCTGGGTTTCAGGTATTGAACAAATGAGTGGGCTAAGCACATAACTGAATTTCCTGGCAGTAGCTTCAGCATAGCCACTAACTTTTTACAGTTGTGTAGTTCAGAATTAACACAGTTTTGGGCCCTTTCTGGAGACAATAACGTGGAACAGAAATCTGTCTGAAGTTCTGGATTGTGGTGGAGTGGCTGGCCTCTGGCACCAGCGTGTCTGAGGCAGAAAGCTGTTGCGGTCGCCTTTGCGACAGGGTTCCCTGCCGTGGCTATCGGCCCTTCCCAGCAGAACCTCCCGGCAGTGGTGGTGTGGGCTGAGTTTGGGATTGTTTGCTCATTGTGTTAACTGAAGGAGGCTAATGATAGGGGAAATTCTGAAGTGGAGTTGTTTGTGTGGTGGGTGGTGACCGCTGTGTGCCAAACCCCTTTAATACATACATTGGTGTGGCATTGCAAAAAAAGAAAGGTTCGAGGAGCTGATTCTGCTGGGTGCTACACACACTTAACCTTTCTCATAATGGTCAGTGGAAGTGCGTGGCTGTTAAAACCATAGTGTAAATGTGGGGTGTCTTTTATTCTGGTCAGCTTTAACAGATATCATCTGCAGTCATTTTTTGAGGCAGTTTTCCTTATATTATACACTGTCAGAAGGAAGGCTCTTTTTTCTGCTGTTTTTTGCTTCTTAGAATAGGATATATTTAAGATATGGAGGTGAGCTGAATATTGGCATTGGGGGAACTGGACTTACCACTGTAGTGTGAAAATGAATCAGTGAGTGTCACTAGAATACACTTTTAAAATAATTTTCTGTTATATCTAACAGTTTTGAGGGTGCATTTAACAGAGCCAGGGTTCCTGGTGGAGATGGTTTCGAACATGTGTGCCAGTTCAAGTTTAAAGGGCTGAATGAAGATAGAGTTTAGAGATGCTGTCTTAGAAGTGCTGTCAAAGCTAACCTCGTTTCTGAAAAGAATTACCCGTTTTTCTTACTCTTCCTGCAAGATATTTCTTCTAAACATCCCAGAAATGTTCAAAATGTGTCCTCAGTACCTAATCAAATAATTGTGGCAGCTTGGTAGTGTTTGCATAGTTACGTAACTAGGCACCAATTATAACTTCATAATTTTGAAGTATCATTCTTTCTCATTGCCATACAATACCTAGAGACTCTTTCTAAACCTAAATCACTGCAAAAATGTTAATTTTACCAGTTCTTCACCCCTTTTTCTTATAAACTTCTTAATATATATCACTGGCACTACTTCATGATAAAAGTTTGGGCATCTGTAAATAAATGGAAAAATAACCCATGGAAGAAGTGTGGCATACAGGCACAGCCAAGAGCACGGTACCTGTGTATCTGCATTTGTCCTGGCCAGGGAACAGAATGGCACTTCGTGTGTCTAATTGATGGCCGGACTCAGAGACCTCATCCTTTCTGATCCACACTGAAATTTTGAAAGCTTGCTTGGACTCTCAATCAAGGATGCCACAAATAGCAATAATTTTCTCTACATTTAGAGCTAAGGATATGTTAGGATCCTGTCAGAGCATCCCCTCTAGCAGCGTCATTCTGAGGTGGTTCTTGGGGTACTGACGTTATCCTTAAACCTCAGTGGATTCAGATTAGTCTGGTAATAAGCAAGTGTGACTAATAATAAATCTTCCACTTCTTGTGGAGCTGATTTTAAAAACATGTTAAAAAAAAAAAAAACTGATCTCACTTTGCGGCATATTTAATTCTGGTATTTTTAGGTCATACATTTTTGCCAACAAGGAGCTTGCTTACAATGTGAGCAAAGGTTTTTAATCTGAAATTAACTCCACCCTTAGTGATAACAAAATTTCTGTAGGTTGGTTTAATTTAAGAGACTAAGAATTAGGCAGCGTGAACTCTTTTGCCAAAAATTCAAACTGAGAGATATTTTTCTCGTCAAGCAGAGAATTTGCTCTCACTCACTGCTCAGACATATTATAGGAGAAATAGAAATTAATTGTTACTAATTGAAATTCATGCTATTTTTATAACTAGTTCTGAAATCATACCTGTGTCTAGCGGTTATACGAGGGATCTCTGATTAGCTTTTAACAGGCTTACTGGTTAGTAAGTATAATGTGTGAATGGTCATAATTTATACCTGAGAGTGCATTCTTGGAAATTGCCTTCAGCCAAATCGAGGACATCTGGTAAACT